GGGGGGGGGGGGGGGGGGGGGGGAGTGGGATGGTAGGAGGGTGGGAATGACCACACTGATAGCCCGAGTGGTTTTGGTATTTTGCTATTTTAACTCCAGTTGCGCATGCTTAAGATATTTGCTGTCTATAGCAGAAATCAGTGCATTTCATACAGAGCGAAGTTGACGTGTTTTCAAACACTACTGTCCTCGGGCCTGAGCCGCTGGTTCCAATTTACCAACGGGAAAATTAATTCTTTTATCGATTTATTTGAGTGTTATTTGAGCGTTAAATTAATAATGGAGTATCTAAGGTATCAGACAGCAAGAGCGATTCAGATTTGTTCAGAACAGTTCTCGAGAATTGAGACCAGTGAGAACCTATGAAAGCGACTTGTAATTATTAACAGTATGCTATTGGCTCAGGTCGGTTCCAAGTGTGTCCGTCTTTTTGAAAGATAAAGAAAAATAACTCACCATACCACAATTATGCTCCAGGGCATCAGCAAGCAGTGTTGCCTGTTTGTGATAGAGCTCCCAGTTAACATCGTAACGAGCCGGCCAATTCCGGCACTACACAGGCCAATTCCCATTAATGTGTCCGCGAAAACCTATAAAACGGATTTGGAACTGTCACGGTAAAGAAGAACAGATAATCGGCAAAAGGCAATACTCTCTTTCTTATTAGGAAATCGTGTGATAGTTTTTCAAAAACCAAACATGAAGATATTTTATTCTTTATTTTTTCAGGAGTGATTACTGTTAATTATTTCAAAAGCGACTCCATAAAGCGTAATATTATTAGTTTGATATTTTTCTCAGCGTAATATTATTAGTTTGATGCTTGTTTCTAAAGGATCAACTTTCAGTGCTGTGAAATCAGCAGACTGTTTAGGCAATAAAAGAATCATAAATTTTGGAAAATTAAGTGAAAAAGATTATTGTTCTGCATAGGCTTGAATCTTTTTTGCATACCTGTGCCATCAAAATTACATATCGTCGTCTGAGATGCCGATGTCTGGCTAATGCATATACAACACTGCCATTGGAAATGACGAGTAAAAGGCCTTGGATGATATAAATTTGGAATGTCACCAAAAAAATTTTTGGAATAACTAAGTATGGTAATTTTTCATCAGTTCCCTTCGTGATAACCATTGCTGGAAAATGTCACAAGAAAGCACGGGGCCAAGGCTAACATGCATTTGTGCATTTTTAGGACTGACTTCTGTAAAGAAGCACACAGAAATCAACAACAATAAATAGCAGCGTCCACCAAGGCAGCCGGTGCGATCACGCGTTTTGTGCAATTCCGTTCACCGAACGATTGCCTGCCAGTGATTTTCACTGCTTTGCACTTTGGTCTGTGCAAAAATATTTAAAATGTTGTCTGATTCTTCAGTTGCGGAATTTCCCACTAGAAATTTCACGCACATGAGATAATAACTTCTCTGTCAAAACTTTCACGGGGCTGCACGTGGTAACCAGAGGTGCGCGAAGGCTGAGTCCAAATTTGCGAGGTCGTACGTTGTAGAGGAGACCATATTAAAATTTCAGATTCTCAACTTCCGCGTTCTCCGGGATAACAATTTTTCCCCGCTAAAAATTCCATGGGACCGCAAGTGATGCTCGGATGCGCGGAGAGCTGAATTTAAAATTACAGGACTGAATGTGGGCAGAACACATTACCATAAAATTTTAGCTTCCTGGCTCTTATATTTCCCGAGATTTTTTTTTTTACCCTCAAAAATTTTCACGAGGCCGTGGGTGATACCCGAGAAAGCGGGAACGCTGAATTTGAATATGCAAGGCCGAGCGTGAGCAGGGGATCATTATCATAAAATTTCAGTTTCTTAGCACCCGTGGTTCCCGAGATAATAATTTACCCGCGAATACTTTCGCGAGGTCGTAGGTGATACCCGAGAGCGCGGGAACGCTGATTTTGAATAGGCAAGATCAAGCGTGGGCAGGGGGTCATTATCCTAAAAATTCAGCTTTCTAGGCTCCGTTGTTCCCGAGATAATAATTTACCCATCAAAAATTTTTACAAGGCCCTAGATGTTACATGGGGGTAGGAGAAAGCTGAACTTAAATTTTCCAAGTAGCACATAGGTGAGGGACATGCCCACAAAATTTCAGCCTTTTAGCTCCCGTGGTTCTGGTGACGATAATTTTACCCATCCAAAATTTTACCGGGCAGTACGTGTTACCCGCGGGTAAGGGGAGGCTGAATTTAAATTTGAGGGGTCACACGTGAGTGGGGAACGTTCCTCTAAATTTTTAGCTTCCTAGCTTTTGCGGTTCCCGAGTTGAAAATTGCGGACAAGTTGCTGCGGACACACACACACAAACACATATACAGACAACCCCGTGACAAAATGCGTTTTGTACTGCTGCTACACAGCATAAAACGCATAAAAATATATTACTTTAACATCCCGAAAATATCAAGACCGCCCAGGCAATCGGCGGGGCATCCTGTATTAGTGAAAATATTGTTTATTGAATGTATTTCTTTTGTGATTTACTGAGAGCAGCAGTGACAAGAATTTTTTATTGTCATCGCTTTTAGTGCAAAAGGGGATTGTAGCACGTATCCACTCCCCGGCTCAGTCAAACCTAACTGGCAACTTTTCTTATGTCCACTCGTCTCCGCGCAAGTTCCTAACTCATTATCACAATTGCCAGCGCTTTCCAAAGTTGACAAAAATAAGACAGAAATTAATACTTATCACATTCTAGCAGCTGCTGGCTAAATGCTAAAATACTCCCTACTTATGAATTTTTGTGTGCAACACTATAGCCTTCCAACAGTCAACAAAAACACGACGATCGGTAGTGTGCACATCTGTGTGTATATGCGTGTCTGTTCGGATATTTCAACTCGGCAACACAAGTGTGCTTAGATGCTGAAAATCTTGCCAGTGTGTTCTAGTGTAAGCGTTTCGCCAAAAATGTGATATCAGTTTTTACTTACATCTCACTCTCGTATGCGGGCGTATAAAGTTTTTAGCGGGGCATTTCCCAAGTCAGGAATCAGGCAAAATAGAAAACAAAAAATTTTGGAAAAATTTTCTCTGAGCATGTGTGATTCAAAGAGATCCTTCTTTCTTGACAACTTTTCATCATTTAAACCACATTTTCAAGGCTGACGAGCATCAGAAAATTTTTTACTTCCCTTTATGCAAAACCCACGCACCTCTCAGTTTCACTGAGGCTTCTGAGCCTT